TCCTGGTGTGCATGGCGGTGGACCGCTACATGTGCATGCTGCACCCCGTGCGATACCACAAGCACTCCCGCAAAAAGGTGAGAAGATTCACATGCAAAATTTAATAAAGAAAAAGTATTTTGCTCTATCTACCGTTTATTTAAAGTCTATGAAGCTATAATGGAATAGGGTTTCTTAAGTAATACGATGCATACTTTTGGAATTATCGAAAAATAAGCGAAATCGTGAAAGGAGAATTATATTTATTGAAAATTCTAAACACCCGAGTGATATTAAGGAAGAATATTTTGAGAATAGTTACTGTGATGATTCAAATAAAATTATTCTATATACAACTATGGTGAAAGAAAATACACTACATCGAAATTGGTAAATAACAGTAAATTTAAAATATTCTTCATGTCTTCCGGGCTACAATGCTGAGTAAATTTAAAGAAAATACATTTAGAAATGAGATTGCAATGGTAGTAATTTCCAGTCAATGTTAATTTCATATAATTGATGATGTATGCCCAAAGAAATATAGATCTTTATTTTTCCAAGAAAAATAAATGACTGTTGAACAGAAACTCCTCAACTTTGAATGAAGCTTCAAAATATGAATTTAGAAAATTTCTGTAGCCCTCTCTTGTGAATGATGAATTGCAGACATTCTCTTAATGGAAAATTAAAGAAATGGAAATATTGAGATACACAAGATTTAATAATGATATTATTATTATTATTATTAATCACAAAATAATAATAATAATAATATCCAGGCACATTGTAAAACGAAACATATTCACAAGAAGGCAAAGAAATCATCAAATTTTCAAAAACAGAAATTATTACAGTTGTAGAACGAAAAAGCTTTATTACAAAATCGCTCTCATGAATATTTTTAATTAAACTAGCTTGAGGGGAAACGAGGCGCTTTTGCGTATGTTATTGCGAATGCATCAAGTCAAGGGCTGCGCTGTGGTAGATTTCGCGAGCGGGCAGTAGTGGGGTAGTGTGCGGTAATAGCGGACGTGGAGGGCGGACGTGGAGGGCGGACGTGGAGGGCGGACGTGGAGGGCGGACGTGGAGGGCGGACGTGCAAGGTGGGCGTGAAGGGGCGACGTGGAGGGAGGACATGGAAGGGGACGTTGAGAAGGGACGTGGATGTGAGACGTGGTGGGCTGTCGTGGGGGCGTTCATGGAGAGGGGACGTGGGGACCGGACGTGGTGATAGGGCCGACGAGTTACAGAGTGGCACGGGTGGGAAACCGGGTGACTCACACAACCCTCCGGATATATAGCATTCTGCATAGACACAGTGACACGCTGTAAACTGACCGGCTGTGGGAGGAAGATGCGGTAGATTGCAACAGCGCTGTACCTTCTCTTGTGCCTGGATTTTGATTGCAGGTTAAAACGTCCACTTGAGAATGTCCAATGACATAATTGTCTCCCTGCAAAAATATTAAATATAATATAATGTTCATTGTAAAATGTCGTAAAGCAGGAATGTCCCGAAACAAAAATAAGAAAAAATAACCATAGGATAATAATGTTTACTTGTTTTCTATGCATTTTAAAATGACAAGGTATTTAACATATTTGAAGGCCTCCATATTATACACTTAGAAACAATAAAATAATTACATTGTAATGCAGTACGGCATTGTAGAACGTTCCTAGGCAAATCAATAACACTGTAATTTTTATTTTACGTTTCAGTGGCACAATTGCTTCGATTATGAAATCGCAAATAATGCACTGGTTGACAAAATAAGGGTATTGAATGTTACCTGGGGGATAGGTATCATAAAACTTGAAACTTCAATTATAGTCAGGAGAAAAAAGCTTCGCAAATTGAATTGAAAATTTTAACTTCCTATTCGGATTTTGGGTGCTACGCGTTTCACGGTCCAACGGTTTAGTATACATTTTTCTCGGCTGTTATTACGCGGAACTTCCATAATAAAGACAGTGGATACTCGTTAATACATTTTATAAGGAGAAACTTACAGACGAAAGGAAATAGTTTGTATTTATAAGTAGAAAAATGTTCGAGGTTATTACACATGATATATTATTTATAACTCATAATTCAATTGAAAAAGTAATGAATTGAAATTACGTTTTACCTTTAGTGAACTATATGTTGTGTCAAATTGCGTATGCATACTATATGTAGAAGGCAGAAAGCAGATAATAAACAACTGTAGGAAATTGTTTAAAACATCTTATTGTATTTTCGTTCCAAGTACTCAATGTCCGACGGATTTACATCGAATATTGAATTTGCACAAAGGGTTGCAATATGCATTTTTAAGTACGTTTCTACAAATATTGCTTATATTGCGATTCTTAAAATTTATTTTTATTCATTTATGTAAAAATTTTACTCATCTTTCAACTATTTATAGTTAAAATGACGGGAAGGGATTCTGGAACTCAAGAAAACGTGCGCAGATAATCTTTCCCCTCCCCCTACGTCACACATAGTTTATACTGTTTTCTTTTTTGACTGAATATATATTAATCTAAATCTAATGTATCAAGCTGGCACGTAATGTTAATGAAACCTGTTTCTATTGTACCGTGCGCCATTCACAAATTCTCTACTTTTCCTCGAAGCGAGAAAAAAAAGAAAGATAGGAATTAAATTATCTGAAAAATGTACATTTTTTACATGTTTCACATTGCCAGAGAATGCAGACTGTCCATTTTGCTATGCAATCATCTGTCGAAAGCAGAGTTACAATAAACCCATCGCGATGCCGGCCGGTAGAAGTTTCCGCACATCTGGCGCGCCGTTTCCATAGCAATCTCCCCCCCCCCGCCCCGCCCCAGCGGGTCCGGCAAACTCTACGTTCGGGAAAACGCAAGTCCGACTCGGCGCATCTTTTTGTACTGTTTGCGAACTTAAACTGGATTCAACAATTTACTATTCTTTACAATTTCAAAGGTCGCGTTGTGAGGGATGACAACAGAATTTTGAAGTTGTATGAAATACTGTTTGTCATTCTGACGGTACTGTGAATTACGCCTACGCCTAGACGACGCCGTTAGGATATGACGGTGGATGAAGTATGACGCCTATCAACCCCTTGGCATTTTGAGTACCTTCTTTGGAGATTAATTTAGGCCAATATGTCTAAGAGTTCTCTATATCCTTTAATGCGTACATAACTTTAAACTGTCCTTTATTTGGAGCCCAACATTAATTTACATTCAAAATTTTGTTTTTACCTCCACGTACATTTTTTGCGGTCATATTTACTCAAAAAAAAGGTTTAAACTAAATAGAGTGGTGTTAAGCCGTGCAGATTAGTAGTTGTTTGAACTTAGCCAATTTGAGTGTTTAAAAAGGTTTTGAATGTTAAAATCGTAGTAAAAGCAATTGATTCATATGAACCTTTATTTAACCTATTGTTAAAATTAATATGAGTAAGTTAACAACATTCTTGAACCTATAACAAAATTTTTTTTTTTTCATTTTCATCTATACTCCAATGTTGATCGAAATCTTCCGTTAATACAAAATAACTTCGTCTTTGTTATTCACAACTTTTAAACGACTCCCAGAGATTAAATTGTTAAATAGTGTACGTAGAAGGTAATTTCTGAGGTTACCTAATGTCCATCTTAAGGATGGAGAACATTATGGCTGCTAACATTACTTTAGGTTTTTGGGGTAATTTCTAGTCTCCTACGTATTGCTCAAACATATTGCTTAGGGGTCAATGTGTTTACGTTAAACACCTTGCATTTATTTACATAATTCACATTCATAAAAGAGTTCACATTTCTTTAATTTTCTTTCACTGAAAAGCACTACCATTTTCTTCTCGATGTTTGGAAATTTATTTATATCAAATCTTCCAGAATTTTCTTAAAACATTTAGAAAGAGAAGTGTCAGGAACGTATTTTGTCTGTTACATATTCTGTTTTGGAGCACATATGAGAAGATCACTGTACTTGACGAGAAGATAGTATTTCTTCTTTTTGATTCCATATCTTTAAAGAGGATAACAATCATCCCAATTAATGGAAAGGAAAGGCCGTTTGAAAACCAAATTTAGTTGCTTTAAAATTGTATTATTTCATATCCAGTTGGATAAATATATTTATTAAAGAGCTATACGAAGGATATTTTGCCCAAATGCCTGTTATTGCCTGAAGAAAATACACCAAATATTTTATACTCAGATGGCATTGATCCAAAGCAGCAACCAATTCCAGCGTATAATGAAATATTTTTATTTTTACAGTATTTGGCTTTATTGTGCACGTACTATGCGACATTGCGCCTACAATACCATCGCACATTCCATCACACATCGGAAATGCTTAATCTTAATCTTCTGTCGATAGACACAGTGGAACACGCAGATGCTGCAAACCGACTCTCGTGTTTTATCTGCTTGAAATATTCTTTGTTTTACTTTTTCTTGTTTCCCATTTGCAGCCTACTTTTGGGAGATGGCCTGAAAATTCGGCCTGTGAACGTAAAAAGTAGCCTGTATCCTCCCAACTCGTTTGTTCGTAACCGCACATACTATATCAAGTAAGTTGGATAGGTTTTGATGAAATTTCTCTTTGAGACTGTAAATATATTCACGTTTTAGCACCCTTTAGCGGAAATTTATACTTTCTCCCAACAGATCGTGTACTCTCCAGCAACAAGGTAGACTCTTCATTGAACATTTTACCTCCTGTGTGTTGTAAAATAAATCTTCCAGCATTGATGTTTTTTATGTCAATTCATATTCAGTATTGATTATTTTGTATTTATTAGATAAGTATAGGAACGATTAGGAACCAAAAAAGAGCTGGTGGCTTTGCGTAAATATAATTATGAGTGAGTGAACAAAGTTTGGTGTTTTGCACAAGTTCATGTTCGATTCGGCGCGTTTTAGCGTTTTGAATTTCAATCAAATATTGTGCACAGCTGATTCGGACTCACCGGGGTTAACCGACGGCCGAAGTGTCTGAAGTTCCTTGGTGGAGGCTGGAAACATGCTTTGGACCTTAGTTTGTTGGCGTTACTCACGTCGATAGCACCAAGGTGGGAGCAGTGAGGACTGGTTTGAAGCTGCTGGTTCCTCAGGCTAGTTGAGTCTCTACCCGCCGAACCAGCTTGGGAGCAGCACGTATTCCAAAACCCACGTAATGAAGTCCGACGAGGAACCCGAATCTCCCGTAAGAGTGCTCTAGATTCCCACGTCGATAGCATCAAGGTGGACACTGAAAAGATGGATGCCCCGCTGGTGGGAGATACCTAGTTGGGGGTCCACCCCGTACGCTGACTTGTAGTTAGTGTCTTATTTTATGCGACCATAGTCAGGCCACCCTGACCAGAACCGCACTTCCGCATTTTGCTACGCTCTTTTCACCCTCTACCGGAGAAAGAAGGTATTACTCGGGCGACGAAACAGGCGATTTTGAATTTAGCTCAGAGGATTGTTTTAGGCTTAAGATTGTCCTACATGCAGTAAATCTACAACATGGTACAGCTAGCTTTACTTCCCACACGAAGAAAGGCGTACAAGGATTTTTCCGCCTTTAAAAATCTACTGCTTTATTCGGGTTTTAACTCGAAAACGTACAACATAACGATACGCTAGAAGTTACTATCAAATCAGCAATGACATGTAGGTCGGCGCCGAATTTCAGCATTCAGCAGAGGAAGTACACCACCCCGTCCCGTGATAAAACATTCACTACACATACTGGGCTAATGACTATCAGGAAACAAAATATTGAATCACTCCATCAACCTAACGAGCTGTTCGGGGGGGGGCGTGTCGCTGTAAATGTGCAGCCCTGGCGGTCTCAGTGAGTGCGTGCGTGCGTGGGCGAGCGTGTCTCGGAGCGCGAGGCATGTGGGGAACGCCAGCGAGGGGCGCCGGCCACGAAGGCCGTCTATTGCGCGCAGGTCACGAGAGCGGAGGGCGCTGCCAATGACAGGACACCAAGCGGCGTTTTCCGCAATAATCGGGTAGAGGGATATTGCAATTCACGCTTCACCTATAATGATCGTGTTTTTGTTGATAACGTTTGAAGCATTATTACGTCCTGTGGGCAAGTCAAGTTTATGGTGGATGTATGAATTGATATGTCATGTACAATAACAATAATTCCTATACTTTACGACCAAAGATGTTATGAGTCGGTTCAAAATAAAATATTTTCCATATTGCAATCAGCTTCCTAAGTAGCAGACCTGGGGACTGTCGGTGCCCCTATATGTTACGCAAAATATGGGCTGTTTCAAGTAAAACAAAGTTTTGCACTTCCTAGACTTTTAAATGACTTTTACGGTAGTACGTCATTACACGTCACATTATTACACAAATTTTGTGGAACAAATTCCAGAGCTATCCATAACTATCAGGACTACTTATTCTTTTACACCCCAAATTCAATTGATCTCTTGTATTTAAGATGTTTCTCAGCTTCTTTGGTTACGATGTTTTGATCGCAGAACACAGCCACATTTACAAGTATACTTATTATTATTATTATTATTATTATTATTATTATTATTATTATTATTGGAAAGTGATCCATTTGACTGGTTTGATTGTTTTCTTAAAAAGGGATGATATATCATTTTTTATTTTGATAATATTAATAATTTTTGAAAAAGTTTGAATGTGTAATATTTTAAAACAATTTAGTATGCTATCTCTGTCTATCTTAAATAAGCACCAAAGAGCGGCAGTCATGCACGGAACCATTAGCTTGGGAACCCCTGCTGTGCCGTAAATGAAATACGCCGTTCGAGTCAACGCAGTACTGCAGCGTTGAGCGGGCGTTTCTTGTTTCCATAGCACAGCGATGTCAAGCGAAATGAAGTTTCATCTCTGAAAGAGAATGCTAGCAGCGTCAACGTGTCTGAGCGATGCACGTGACTACGGTTCGATGGAAACTCAAAGGCGGAAATTCAAAGGTGAGACCCGAAGCCTTTGTACGGAATTGCATTACCGTCTGAAGGGCAAAAGGCCTCCTCGGCGAAATATCAAATGAACAACGTGGAACGGAGTGCACAAAAGCGGACTCGCTGGCCAAAAATTACAGCTCAAACAATCTCCTAGCCTTATATCGGGTTACTGAATTGTAGTGTGTAATTTATTTTTAAATTGTTAGTGATGTATTGTGAGTTGTCACAACTCATGGTCTTAATTCCGTTAAGTGACGTATGTAATGGTCGGATTTACTTTCCTCTTAACCTGTACTACTGGTAAAATGTTTAACAATTATCGAGAATATTGGATCACTTTGATGAGTTCGTAAAAGAGAGAATATTATAAGGAGTTAAGAGTTGGAACAAGTAACGCTTTTCCTTACAAAGATAATTTAAGTCAATTAAGTAATAAAACGCATTCTTGGTATTCATGGCGTGTAAATTGTAAGGTATTTCAGCATGATTTCAAATAATTAAAATAATGTGTTAAAAGTTTACAGGGGCAACTATTTTATCTTTCTTATACTACAAGTACTTCACAAATTGTGACACAATGTATTTGATATTGTAACACCCTACCCCCTTTTTTCTTATTATCAACATTCGCCTATATCTGGTCAATCTGACCGCAACTGGCATTGTGTCAACTCTCCGTAGAGGGGCGGGTGAGTCCCAGGGTGACGCGACTCACCTGTTCTTCTGGTTTCCTGTCTGCAGCGTTGCCAGCTTACGCAGTTCTGAAATTACGCTCCCTCGGCGGTCTCTCCCATCGGAGTGGTCAATTTGTCAGGTTGTTTTTCAAGTGGACTTCGTATTAGAATATTAATTTCAAATATTGAGAAATATTTCTCTCGCCTTAATTATTATTAGAAGATAAATAGTTGATAAATACCAAGAAAATAAATTCCTTTCAGCGATTTTACAATTATTATAATTTAGATTTTTACTGAGAACTAAGTGCAACGGGATGAATATTTAAAATGCATAATTATGAGTAGTTAATTGATTAAATACATTCAAGATTGTAAAAATGATTTATTCTTGTATCTGGTTTTAAATTAAGAACTATTTCGACTCATGAGAGTTTCGAGACTAAACCTTGCAAGTTACTTTGAAGCCTAACAGGTTGCTTATTCCTCTGCTTTCTTTCTAAGAATGAGAGCGAGTCCACTTTATATGACTTTCTCGTGTGTTCAGCTATTAAAGTGAGTCAACTAGTGAGGTCCTTAGTCCTATATGTATTTGTGAAAACTATTGCAATGTATCTGAATTTAAACTACAATGAAAGTAATCTAAAATAGAGTTCTAATACCCTTCATATATAAACAGACATTATTACGCTGACATTACGTTGACATTGCGTACTACTGATATTTATTGATTCGAGGATAAGCCAATCAGTATCTGCACTTTCGTTCGAAATGTGTATAAATTGACTTTGTGCGCGTACCATCATTGAGATGTTATCTTTCTGTTTCCTAATGGGAAGTGTCAGCGTTACTTGCGTTTCTGCTGAATTACAGCGTTCGCTTGAATGTATGCATGGCACCTCTCTCCGTTTGCACCAATCAAGAACACTCTTTGAAATTCGTGTTTTATGATTTGAATGGCTACCAACAGTTGAAATCATAAGAAGACATTCATCACAATGTGAATGCAATTTTTCTTTGGCTCCTCTAGTAGATTGAGCCATTCAAAAGTCGTCAAACCAGCAAGCAGGACGAGAAAAGTGCAAGAGTCCAGCCTCAACCACTACTGATACCAGAACTGAGCGAGTCCGTGACTTGATTGTGAATAACCGATGAGCGCCTTTTGATGAAGTGGCAAACCATATAGACACGTTCTTCATAAGAGATCGCCAAGATGAAACCAGGCAGATACGGTAGCAGTGCATTTATCGCTTTCTGAGCAATGGAAAATTCTTTTTTACTTTCTCGCACCTACTAACGTGAGAAGATCGTGTGCCGAATTGCAATCGTGTGCCAAAACATGGCGAATTTTTGACACAAAAACTTGTATTGTCGGGCCCTGGTAAAGAAAAAGTGGATAAATCCAGTTGCTAAATGTAGAAAAATTCCTGTTACACATGGTGTAACCAGAGAGAGTCATACCGAAAAATCGATTGACGTCAAAATGTCTGTCCGTCTTTCCGCCTGTCGGTCTGTGAATGCATAACGCTATTGCATAAACAGTTTGGTTTCTCCGAAACTGATATTCCGCAATCGTTCTGGCTGATGTCACTGCTCCTACAATTTAAAACTGATCTATTAATTTTTGGGGGTACTTTACATGAAGCCCCTCAGTTATTTTCAAATAAATAGTTCCACATATTTTGATTAAATTTAGTTGTTGAATAGTGCAAAGGATGTTTAAGAGAATGATGCAGATTTCATTTTCTTTAAAATCTCTGACTTTTCGAAAATTACAAAAATTCAAATTTTTTTCGGCATCTTCCTACAACTTTAATATTAAAGACAGATTTTTTCTTAATGAAATCTGTTTTTAAAGACAAATCTTAAAATAAGTCAACTTTCAAGTTCAACTTTTAACATCTTCCTAGAAAGAAAGTTACTAGCTTCCACAGTTTCCCGCTCCGGGTATCCTAGCGGGACATCGCACTCACAAGGACAAGTTATGAACTCCCGATTGGACAACCGACATGTTTGATAGCGTCGGATTGGTAATGTAGTTTGGTATTTTGGAAGTGAAGCGCTTTAAGTGTGAGAGTGTGTGTATACGGATGGAGCAGGGATGAAGAAGGCAAGAACGCAGGTGATACCTGGCTCGTTTGATAGGGTACTGCGCCGACCCTGGCTTGTTAATGGTAACAAAAACAACAGGGAAACGACTCACGTCGTAGAGTCTGCACACAACATAAAGCAGGTCTCAAAAATTTGAATCGGGAAGCCCGTGCATCTCCCCCAGGCGACCCAATGGCCGCGGCCGTCTACGCAGGCGGGGCGGGCGGCGACGGCGGCTTTGATCGCATGACGGATGGGGCCGTGGTCCCCGCCCCTGCCTCCCCCGCAGCGCCGCGCAGCCAGGCCCCGTGAAAGCCGCTTCGCCGCGCGCCCAGGAGGCCTTGGCGAGGGGCCTGGCGCGAGGGCTCTCCAAAGCACACTTCCCGCGATGGCTCAGCCACAATACCC